ATAGATTGATAATAATCCCAAGTGACTCAACAAATATAGCGATGCTCCCCGGTAACGGCGCCAGAAAAAGGTCTTGATAACCCACAAGTATAGGGAATCGCTATAGTTTTCGAGGGTAGAGTATTCAACCCAAATTTATAGATTCGACGCAATGGGATCCAAAGAATATTTGCAAGTATTAGCAGCTGAGTTGTCAATTCAACCATACTTTTAGATTAATTATCTACAGCAAAGGGATAAGTAGCATAATAATATGATAGTTTTGATAGCAGTGGTAACTGTAATTTTAACGGTAATAGTGATAGCGATGATTTTGTAGCAGTTGTGATAGTAGCAATAACAATAGTAACTTAGCAAGAAAAATATGTGAAAAACTCGTAGGCATTGGATCGCTGAATTCGTTGAATGATATTCATCATATAACAGTCATAACCTAGGGCAATACAAAACTAACTCCAGTTCATAAATATAATGTAGGCATGTATTCCATAAATAGTCATACATGCTTATGGAAAGAACTTGCATGATATCTTTTGTCCTATCCTCCCGTGGCAGCGTAGTCCTTAAGAAAACTAAGGAATATTAAGGCCTCCTTTTAATAGAGAACCGGAACAAAGCATTAACACATAGTGAACTAGATGATACCCCGCGGCGGGAATTTTTGAACTATTGAAGAAAAATCCATTGAGTGGCAAATAGTGAAACTATGAAAGTCACTCTAGATTGTAGTTGCGGGGTCTACCAGGTCTGCCATTAGTTTAACGAATACAGGTCAAAGTGATTACCATATGGATAGGAATATTAAAGATTTTGTATGGAAATAGAAATTTCCCAACAGAGTAGTAATGAGAGTTCTTCTCGATTAGAAACGATGATGATCGTTCAAGTGATAACTAATTTTAAATTTCAGCAATAAATTTACTAATTTTAGGTAGAGGTCCTAGTGTATTTTCTGAGATGCTTCTATGCGTGGTTGACCATGTAGTATGTGAGGTCGTCATGGTTGCTATCTTCTTCATAAATAAAAAATAGAGAACACTGCATCTTCTATATGTAAGCTACATATGAACCATTCGCATGCATCCATAACATCAGGCAGGCCTCTATAATAAAAGGAAAGAGTGTGAACAAAAATAGGATAGAGGAATGTGAGCATACAAAAAACAGGATTTTGTAATCTGCTGCTGTCAAAAGATATAAAACACATTGCTTGTTACCCTCCTAATTACAAATGATGTATTGAATATAACTAATTTTGATAATAAAATCACTACCGGCGACTGAACTAATTTGATGGAATCCATATTCTTCTATCACCGTCCTAATTACAAATGTGTCTTCTATCAAGGGATCACCATCGGCTATAACAACAAATATTCCTTTTTCAAGAAAAGTACTGCATGGTTTCATGAGAACATCGCCATGGATGATAATACCACATGCACGTACAGTCCCGCGCGTACATACGGTACATACCACGAAGGACAGATGTCCAAGCCATTCGCAAAGAGCACCCTGCAAAAAAAGGAGTAGTGCTTCTTGGAGAGAAAAATCTACCATATATAGACAACTGGAAGAGGAGTAGTGCTGCTTGGTGATCTTAATTTCCCACTTGTAGTTAATGAAACCGTGCACCATTTCAGATCAGAGGGGAGAGCTGAAGGGACGATCGCCTATTCGGTTGTCAAGATTGTAGCCTTGCAGGGGAAGGGGATCGGACAGAAAGGTTTGCGACTCAGGTAGGGGAAGGGAATCGGGTGGGAAGATGTGGGCCTGAGTATGATGCGCGTTGTAGTACAGCCCAATGACAATAAATCAAGTCAAGTCGTCCGAGCAAACATGACGGGACGAAAAAGCCCAGGCGCAAGAAGTTTGGGTCGGGGGAAATAATCAACCTGGCAAGTGGCAGAGAAAACGATCAGGTCTGGTACACGGTCCGTTCTGTACGCTGGTGAGTGGTAACTGCAGGATGACATGGCACATGCATGTTAAGAATTATAATCATGTGAACGCTGACGTGGTATGAAGATGATGTGGATAGTGTGCATGTTGAGAGAATTGGTAGAGGTGGGGAGCAACTTCTTAAGAATGTAAGATACATGAACTCCTCAAATTTTGGTCATCACAGGAAAGTATCCTGAATACTGTCACTCCGGGGTTTACGGATCATAACACATAGCAGGTGCATATGACTTGGAAGATCGGATCTATAACATAGATATAATGGTGAAAACATGAACGGTTCAGATCTGAAATCATGGCACTCGGGCCCTAGTGACAAGCATTAATCATAGCAAAGTCATATCAACATAGATCTCAGAACATAGTGGATACTAGGGATCAAGCCCTAACAAAACTAACTCGATTACATGATAAATCTCATCCAACTCCTCACCGACCAGCGAGCCTACGAAGGATTACTCACTCCCGGTGGGGAGCATCATGGAATTGGTGATGAAGGAGGGTTGGTGATGACGAAGATCAAAATTTTCCCTCTCCGGAGCCCCAAACGGACTCTAGATCTGGCCTCCCGATGTGGAACAGGAGGCGGTGGCGGCTCCATGTTGTGAAACGCGATAATTTTTCCTCCTTGATTTTTTTTCTCCAGAAATAGGATTTTATAGCGTCGGAGATAAGGTCAGCGGGGCCATCAGGTGGGCACAACCCACTTGGGCGCGCCAGGAGGGGGGCGCCCTGGTGGGTTGTGCTCACCCAGCCCCCCCCCCCCTCCGGTGGTTCTTGGTTCTAGTATTTTTCTTTTATTCCATAAAAATTCTCCATTCCGAGAACTTCTATTTCTGCACAAAAACAACACCAAGGTAGTTCTGCTGAAAACAGCGTTAGTCCGGGTTAGTTTCATCCAAATGATGCAAATTAGAGTTCAAAACAAGAGCAAAAGTGTTAGGAAAAGTAGATATGAAGGAGACGTATCAGGATAGGAAGCATTTGAAACTCATAACATTTCGAAACCAAGTCATGGTTCTGGTGTGGATAGGTAACTTTCATGCAAGTGTGTCCATGGCTAGTTCTTTGATGTTATTCCCGAGATATATCTTAACAGACTCCTTCCATGTCAGATTTGGTCAGCCTTGACCTTTCTTGACAGTATCATCACGATTTATCATTCACTATGCAGTGGCACTTCCGAAGGCATGCGTCCTATATAAGCCCAAACGAAAGTGCATCTAATCCCAAAAGTGGATTTCGGTAATTCACGCCAACATATCTCAAAGAACTAATTGTACTTCAAGTATATTTTAAGAACTGTTCTTTATAGGAACGACATTGGAATATATGATGACCCTTAAAAATGCTTAAAGACAAGTGTTGGTCAAGCCATGGGATCCTACTTGTCTTGGCTAGCTTCCTTACACTTCACACTCGTCGAGTCAAATGCGAATTGCGAAGACCCGCTCATTTTTCACTACACCCGTGCGTCGATGTAGCGCTCTACTAAGGATGCGACTACCTGGTTGTTGCTCACTTGTTACCGCTTCCATATCAAGATACGATGTGCCACCAAGAGGGTGACAACCTGATCCTTGCCAATTTAACACCACACTCGGTTTTGATATGGCGCGTCGAGGGTTACACCCCAACTATGTAGTTTTGAGTTTCATCTCTTTAAGAGTGGCAGAGTTTTGACGTTGGCTTGCTAATGCTATCACAACCCTCCTTGTTTACGTAGACTTGAGACCGACTATGTTGAAACAAGCATCCATCAAAATCCCTAAAAATCATCCTCCAAAGTGGGTTGACGGCCCGTCACTACACGTCGCTCCATCAACGTCACGGACCCGTCATACTAATTCTCTGGGTAAGAGTAGTAGAAATCAATAGCCAGACCTCCATTATTTCTTATAGACCTCACGCCAACACTGAAGGCCGCATCGACATGACAGGAACTAGGCCGAAGGAGCAAACAGTAAATGAACGCTATCACCACCGCTCCTACAAACTATGCTAACCTCATTGGCTAGATCGAATGGTGGAAAACTACACCATTGGCGTCATTGCATATGATACCAGCGAGATGGGGAGGCTTGAGGAAACCTTATTGACCGGACTTGCGCCACCGCCACTACCAACGATGTTTTGCTTAATAAGACTTTATTAAGCGCCATAGGTGGAGCTAGCAGCGACGCACATTAAAACCTACATAAAGCTCTAATTAGAGATAATTAACACATTAAGAACTCTTTTTATGTTGCCGTGCATGTGATGTGTAAGATCATTATGTATCGCTATATTATGCTGGCGATAGTTTTATGTGTTGTTCAGGTTTTATATAATTATACGTATTTGTTCAAATAGGATATCAAGTCAAGATGGCCGAGTTGGTCTAAGGCGCCAGTTTCAGGTACTGGTCCGAAAGGGCGTGGGTTCAAATCCCACTCTTGACATATCCATTTTCCTTTTTTTCTTTCTTTCTTCACAACCGTACAGAACCAAAACTAGTCATCACTGCTCACTCCAAAAGTAATACAGTACGTGACCAATCGATTTCAATCAAAACCATCACTGTAAGAAAAGAATGGAGATAAGAGAATACAGACTAGAGGACTGCTCAACTACCAACGACTCAAGCTCATTAATTACATACACTACACTCGCCTGAAGATTTACCCTTTTTTTCTTTCTTTCTTCACAACCGTACAGAACCAAAACTAGTCATCACTGCTCACTCCAAAAGTAATACAGTACGTGACCAATCGATTTCAATCAAAACCATCACTGTAAGAAAAGAATGGAGATAAGAGAATACAGACTAGAGGACTGCTCAACTACCAACGACTCAAGCTCATTAATTACATACACTACACTCGCCTGAAGATTTACAACACCAAAATTGAACACTTTTCTTTTTGAGAAAAACTAAAAACAAACGTGTAGATTAACGTGAATTTCTAATGTCTGTATGTTACAATTTTTTGTTGAGCAGATATACATCAGCATGCAGCCAGTTGAGTGGTTGGGCTACATGCCTTTAGTTTCGGTGGTTAATCGATCTTAGTGAAACGCAAGAATCCGAGCACCTCCCTGACCCGTCGCTGCCATCCTGGCTTGGTCGCCGTCGCCGTCGCGGCGGGCTTGGCGCCGACGATGCCGTCGTTGCCGGCGAGCACCCGGTACTTGTCCTTGCGGGTGAATGTGGTGCACTCGAACCCCAGCGTGGCCGCAAGTATCCTCTGAACGTAGTTGGCGACGTCGACGGGGCTCCTCCCGGCCGCGCACGTCGCCTCGGCGGGGAGCTGGTTCAGGAACGTCACCTCGTACACCGGCCTCGGGTTCATGAAGAAGAAGATGGGATCCATGGCCTTCCACCCCCTCGCCGTCGTCGGGTGGAACAGCCCCACGCGGTAGTTCGTCGCCACCGGCACGATCCGTTCGCTCAGCTCCGCGAACAGCGCCGAGAAGCGGAGCAGGAAGGGCTCCCGGCAGGTGGTGCCCTCGGGGCACACCGCCACGTCGCCCCGCGCCAGCTCCGCACGCATCCGCGCCGCGTCCGTGTCGCGGTCGCGCGTCAGCCGCACCGTCGGGATCGGCGACAGGATCTCCGAGAGCCGGGAGAGGGAGTAGGTCACGGCGGCCACGCGCCGGCCGAGCACGAACGATAGCACCACCGGGTCCATGAGCGTGCGGTGCGTGCAGACGAAGAGGACGCCCGTGGACGAGCCGTTGGCGCCGGTCGTCGGGGCGGGGGGCCGGCCGCGCGTGATGACGGCGCCGCCGACGAAGGGGGCGATGTAGGGGATGGTCTGGATGGGGAGGACGATGCCGAGCGTGATGCGGACGAAGGCGAGGAGGACGCCGAGGGGGATCCAGAGGAGGATGGCGAGGGACACGAGAGTCGTCGGCCGGCGCACGAGCCGACCGTCGTGGAAGATGACAGGCCGAAACGGAGGGCACTTCGGTCGCCTCGCCACGTCGTCGTCGTCGTCGTCGTCCACGGACAACGGCGGCTGGAGTTGCTCCTGCATACATGCACATGACGTATTCAGATGTCATTTTGGTTACTCATCTCTTGCATTGGAAGTGAAAAAAGAAAGTTACCCATGCTCACAACTGTGAATATGTAATGTAGTGCAGGACTTCAACAGAAAAGGAGGACCAAACTGGAAAAACTCGAACCTATAGTTTTGTGAAGATAAAAGTAATAGGTGAATTGATTTTCTAAAAATATAATAGAATGTTTTTACAAAAAAAAATCTGCACCAAAGATTTGTGGTCTGGCAGGAGTGATTCAACCGAAGTTGAGCTCTCCAAAGCCCATGTAAAACGAACCAAATTATTCTTAGAAAAACAAAGGAAAATCTTAAAAAACGTAACTCGCCAAAATTTTCAAAAGAAATTCAAAAGCCTCAGGCCCAAGGTTATAAGGAATACTCCCTACCTTTTTGGTTTGTTAGGCCCGTCTCAAAAAAGCAGAATATCTTATTTTGTCAGACTCATTGCCCTGGAGACAGGCAAGTATAGGTATTTTTGCATTGAATTGTGCCGTTTTTGTTTTTAATGTAAAATCGACCAATGCACAAAAGAGTAGGATGGCCTTGCATGTGATTTGTGAGATGAGTCCAAAAACGGAAAAGGAGAAAGTAATACTTTTTCATGAAAGATGTACAGTAAGAACTTTGTAAAAAGCATAGCCAACCTTGCAGAAGGGCAAGAAGGATCGTGTCATCTCCGACCGGCCCAGACCGAGGTCCGGCCGGTCACCGTCACGGAAAAGCGCTCGCACGCGACCGGCGATAGCCTCGTCGGCGGCGCCTTTGAGGAGCCCGGTGCATCGCCTGAGGCGGCTGTACTCGACGTCGCAGCCGACAACGTCGTGCGCGCCGAGGTGCTCCCTGGCGAACCACTCGACCATGACCCGGGGCATGCGGGTGACGACGACGCGCCTACCCTCGCACGCCCCGAACGCCGCCCATGCGGCGGGGTCGACGTCGTCGGCCATGAACTTGGGCAGCACAGCGCGCGCCACGGCCTCCAGCTCGGCCCGCGGCACCCCCACTGTGGCCACGAACGCCGCGCAGCGCAGCGCCAGGCCGCCCCGGCCCAGCAGCAGCTCCAGCAGGCGCAGCGCCGGCCAGAGCGCCAGCAGCGCGGCGAAGCGCGGCAGCCCGGACGCCTCGAACGCCACGAGCATGAAGTAGGGGAAGGTGCAGGCGTCGCGCAGCAGCGTGCCCTCCAGCTCTGCCACCACCGACGACGGCATGGTCACCATGCGTCGCCGACCGGTCGACGATCTTGCCACCGAGCTGGTCCGCGGCGCCTGGTACGTGTGAGCGTGGGAGTGTGCGAGGTCGGGGTCGGACGAGGAAGGAAGCATGCGCATGCGCGGGGGATATAGGGGGGTGTCCGGCTCTGGGTGACCGGGTCGCCGGGGGCGGTGGGCAGCGTCTGGCGTGACCGCGGGCGCCGTCGCCGATTCAGGTAAGCGGACTGCACCCACCGCGTCGGCGCGCTTGCATGCAGAGTTGCGTGGAGGTGTGGACTGCGCGGGCGGGCTGGACGACGACCACCTGACCTAACCTAACCTCTCGGAAGTCTCAACAAACCGGATCTATCTAGCTTGCTTCAATTCGCTTAGCCAGAGCCCGGTCGGGGGCTTAACTACTAACCACTGTCAGGGAAATCTGGCCGTGTGAACCGCGAAGAGAAGCGGTGGTCGTGGCATAGCTAGCGTGGCGTGGGAAATCTGGCCGACGTAGTGCGAAACGACGTACACACACCTGTTGCGTGCGGAGCGGCTTGGATCTCCGGCCACCTTTGTGCCGTGCGCGGTTCGCGCTGGGCGTTGCTAGCTCTTGAATGCTGATGCGGACTCCCAAGATATACTCCTCCTACATGAATCTGCCAAATCTTTTTCTTTCGCGCTTCAGACGCAAGAGAAGGAGGGGGAGAGCGTACTAGAACTTTCCCGCTGTGTGTTTCACGTGCCGCACTCGTGACGCTGCCTTAGGCATGTGGACATGTGGCCGTCGATTGACTTGCTAATAGCGGTTCTCTTCTGACTCGTACCACAAACATAACTGGTTTACAGTGTTCTTGTTGCTGACCACTTGACCTTAACCAGCAGCAAGACCATGCATGCATGGCCCGGACGCGGAGCAAGTAGTACCGGCGACACAGTCGGGCCCCGTGCATATGCTGTTGCTCACGCGACACATGCGGCTGATCTGGCCGTAGGTAGATGCAATCAGCATGCGATCACCTGCTGCTAAGACGTGGGAACAGTGACCAACAAGGCAGCATTACGAGTGGACGAGGAAGAGTCGCATGTATATCGGTCTTTTTTTTGTTTTTGCGGGGGTAAGTATATCTGTCTCATCATATTCAATGTGCTGTTTCTGGAAACGGCTCGATGCCTATCATGTCAATGCGCCATTGCGCCTGTGTGTGTTAGCGGTCGAGCTGCACGTCCTTATTTTGACAGCAACTCGAAATTAAACCCTACGTCGCAGTTTCCATCGACCTGCACGTACGTGTCAACGGGAGCACGACGCGCTGGGTGCAGGCAGCACGTTTTTAAAACGTCGAAGCAACGGAAGACACCGTCAGCGGCGATCTCACGGTTTTTCTTCCCGGGACAGTAATGGCGGTGGTGGTGTTTCCACGCGCCGTTTTCCGGGTCAGGATTGATCTCCGATCGAGTTAACAGATAGATACGGCGAGGTGGGTCGACGGAGACAGGAGAACACAGCGCCGAGACAGTGCATGCTCTAGGGGCTCTAGGCGTTGTCGACTCGGTGTAAGCTGTTGGAAGAATTAAGTCTTGGTGTGCCAAAATTAGGGGTCGCTCTCTGCTATGTTTAGCAGTTAAGAGTCCAACGCTGAGTTGACAAATTTTCCCAGACTTTGTGTTTTGTTACTTTCCCGTTTTAATCTCCTCCGCTATGCTCCTGCGACTTTCGTGCGAAACAAGTACAGAAGTACTACAACGTGATAAATGGTGTTACACTCTTAAGCTGACCAGTGGTCACGTACTTAAACAGTAAAGGTCGAAGTACTACTGTTCCCAAGTTTGACCAGAGTAAAACCAATGGTTTATCCAGAAGACTGAAGATGCTTCACCTGAGATGGGCCGAGTCATCAAGATTAATTATTGCCATAGTTTTGTCCTGTATACACATGCTTAAAGGTCGAAAGGTTAACAATTGGGGATAATCTGCTGTGGTTTTTGTAGTTAGAGTGCTCTATATGCGCTGCGCTGGTACTGCTCGAAATGCTTTATTTGATAAATTCAAACTCGTATGTTTTGGGTTTTGTTTCTTATTTGTTGTGCCAAGTCTGTTCACATAGAGATGTGTTGGCAGCCCGACATCGGCTTAGACGGTCAACATGTGCAAGCCGGTAATGTTAGATGCATCCAAAGGTTGTGCGTGCCTCCTTAGTGATGTGAAGGAAGAAGAAAACCTTAGCCACTGCACCCATGTCCTAGTTGTGGTCGTCAATGTGAGATTGTGAGTGAGGAGAACACAGAACAAGAACACAACATGTGAGCAAAGAGGAAGAAGAGGCTCAAACATGTGTGGATTGGCATGAAACTTGATGAGCCCGTTTCTTGTTAGAGTTGTGTCGAATATAGTGTACACGGTAGGTTACAGTTGGACTTGTAGTTGTATTGTGTTTATATAGGATATGGAGTCGTGTCCTAGTAGGACACTTGTATCCTAGGCCTCTCTTATATAGCGGGGGTAGACACACGATGTAACCTATGCCAACATAATAGCACGGGCACGCGGGGGAGCCGGCGGCGTGTGCCGGCACCCGGGCGGCCAGGGTGCGGTATTGTGACGGTGTCATGGGGAGGAGCGCCCGTAGTCATGCCCCGGGGATGTAACCATGATGGTGAACGTCGTTAAGAAATCTCGGTGTCGTGCCTCGTGTAATTGCTTGGTCCTCGGTAGATCGACGGAGCGCCTCGGATTTATTCTAACAAGTGGTATCAGAGCAAAGTTTGAAGAGGCCGCGTGGTATATTGATTTAGAGTATGGATCGTTATCAAGTTCATTCCGAAGACAGTGTGGTGGAGAATTGATCGAAGCTAAAGCTGGTCGGTTGAAGTATCTCTTCCGCGGAAGTCGTCTGGTCGCGTGTGGACAAGATTGGAAATCGGTGTAGCAACCGGAAGCATCGGCGACGCGGTCTGGTCTGTGATTGGGAACCCGGCCGAATCATGATGCAGCAACACGTGCAACAGATCACGCGCGGCGGCGACAGGATGGATCGATCCAACGCATGCCTTGTGCGTGCGAGCACGGGCGCTGCGGGCAAGGTGGGTGGCGGCGTGTGCTTCGATGGGCGGCGGCCGAGGCAGATCGATCAATCCTCAGATCGATCGGGAGCAGGGCGCTGGTGTCCTAGTGCGTGCAAGGCCCAAGGCCCACGTGTCAGTGCTGGTGGGCCAGAAACGCAGCAAGGCTGGTCGGGAGTCGAGAGCTGCCAGGAGCACAGGACTGCTGAGCTGCATGAGATTTGTTACAAGGAAAATAAGGGCGTCAGGTACCGTGTGTGTAGCTATCCATCGAGAGCAAGACAAAGAGCAGGATGGAGAAGGTTTGGGGCTGCACGTGAGCAAGGATAAATGGAACTTTTGATCTTGTGCACGGGAAGGCTACTAGAGGAATTCTCCGATTGGCTCTCTTTGCTTGGTACATGTACATGTATGTACAGGATGACAGCGGTGCACGCTACGGAAAACAAAGGCGCGGTCGCAAGTCCATGAAATATTTGATACGATGCAAGTCAATGAAGATGGACGTGTGCGGTGACGGCAGCGTGCGTACAAGGCTCGGGTGCAGTCTAGAGCATGTCGTGTCATGATCATGCAACCACAAGGCGTCAAGGCAATGCACAGATGTGTGAGGCGGACACGACGTAGGGTGGAGCATGTTTGCAGTCGGATATTTTCGGCTGGGTCGGGCTAGACTGTCTGACGGATCGACGGGGATGTCGGTCAAAGCAGAAGACGGCGGTGATTTCAGCGACGACGACACAGGAGCGTGATGCTGATGGTGACCGACTTTTGGGGCGTGGAAACACGTGGTGCAGGCTTGAGGGCTTGTGCGGTTTCGACAAGACTATGATGCAGGGTTGATTCAAGGTTGTGTACACATGAGAGCTTGAGGTCGACGGGGCGTGGAGGTGGCACGTACAACCACAATGGAGTCATGTTGAAGGTGGAGCTAGAGTCTGGCGGAAGACTTCACTCTGTGCTGATGGAGGGGCTACGGCGTAAGAATTCAGAGAGTCGAAGCCTATTTCAGCGGGATAGCGAGAGACACGTGGATCGGACTGGGTACCAGTGGTCTGATGGAGGCGTGATACTCGGCATCGGTCGGTGATGATCGGTGGTTCTCTGCAGTGGGGGTTGAGGCAGTGGGGGCTAGCTACCCGGGAGACTCGACCAGGAGAGCAGAGGCTCGACGCGGTGATAGCGTGAGGCATGCGGTAAGCACGGGACACAGCGACAGGCCAATGCACTGGTGGTCAGACATGTGGTCGGACAAATTGTGCAGGGGGTGCTGAAGCAGTGTTGACGAGTACCAGATTTGAGTTGGTGACTGGGTCTATCAGTGCCGATTGATGGACAAGAGTTGACCATGAAGAATCTGAGAAAGTGGCGGGAAGTCTGAAATTGTCAAAACAGAGAGAGTACATGGCCGTATATTCTATGGTGCTCGGTGCACATGGCAAAGTGCGGATGACAAGACAGAAGGAGGCAGGGTGCTATAGCTGTGGGACATGTCAAAGACTAACCGGAAAAAAAGGATGGGACAACTGCGAATTTGACTCAGGGTGACACAGGGCAACGGTGAAATTCCTTCAAGTTTCAGAAAGGTGGTCAAGGAAGAGCGGTGAACTTGAGTTCAGGTAACTCTTATATGTGGCGTCCAATACGTGAGTTGTTCACTTTCACGCAGACAGTGGTCGGTGTGTGATGACGTTGAACGGATTCTCCGAAAGTTGGGAGCATGGACTAGAGTAACAAGGAACTTAATTTTGCTCGAGTGTTAACTGTGAACAAGACGAGAAGGAACTACAAGTTGTAGGTGAAGTCACATGTAGTCTTTGGAGTAGCAGCGGTGCTTATGGGATAAGCTCAAGTCCAATGTACATGGAAATTTGACGCATGGAAAAATCTAGGGTGGTGGAGTATATTCGCCAAGGTGGAGTTTGTTAGAGTTGTGTCGAATATAGTGTACACGGTAGGTTACAGTTGGACTTGTAGTTGTATTGTGTTTATATAGGATATGGAGTCGTGTCCTAGTAGGACACTTGTATCCTAGGCCTCTCTTATATAGCGGGGGTAGACACATGATGTAACCTATG